ATGCTCTGTCTCTCTCTGTCCCAAAAATAAATAAAAAAAAAAAAAAGTTAAAAAAAAAAAAAAAGAATTGCTCTCCATAGCTGAAATCAGCAAATATAAAACTTTTCTAGCAGCCAAGAAAGTTCTATTACCACCAAAAAAAAAAAAAAAAAAAAAAAGTCAATAGCACTTGAAAAGCATTTCCCTCGCACATTTACCACAGCATTCTGACCCTGTGGTGCTCGATTTTAAGGACCACGGTTTGCTTGCCAAATAGGCATATCTTGGCTTCCTTCGCTAGGTAGAAACACTGCCTTGATATTAAATATTCAAAGCAAAGAACCTCTGACCCAAGGGCTCTCAGCTAACAATGACATTCTCTGTGAGTAAACTAGAAACCCAACTCAGCTTCTGGTTTGCCAGTGTTCTCTGCTGTGTATTAGTCTACTGCAGGACAGGGTGAGCAGTGACTCCGTTTACCACGATTGGATTGCAAAAGTCCCTGCAGGCAAAAGCCTAAACTTGGCAGAAGATCCCTGGAGGGGGGGGGGGGGGGGGGGGGGTCAGAGCTGCCTCCTGGGGTGGGCAGGGGCTGGGAAAGGGTGAAGGCATCCAGCCTCACCAGAGGGAGACCCAGGTCTGTTACAACTGTAAGGACTTTGTTACTCTAAGCAAGTGCAGCGGTAACATAAGAATGTGGCTCCTACAACCATCATCAACACAGAAACTTCTCTCACTTTGTGGTGCCACACCTACAGCCCCAGAACTGAGATAAGCTGTGGGAGCTTTGGTCTGAGTCTCCCAGAAGAAAAGCCTCACCGTTTACTGGGAGGAGAAAAGCATTTTTGTTAAGAAGCCTGGGACTGGAGGGTGGAGGGCAGGTACCATCTGGCAGTAAAGACCCAGAGTCTCCGTTCTGTACATTTCTCCTCATCCGGCACACAGACCTCCCGCCCGGCTGGCTTCCCATCCCTGCCTGCAGGCGCAGACTTCAGGTCAGATGTCTCCAGGACTAGTGTCCTTACATGGGCACCCTGGAGGCCGGCTGGGGCGCACCCGGGCTACCCGGGTTTGCGAGTGGCAAACCAAGTGAAACTCCTCCGATCACAACACGTGTATTTTACAGCGCTGGGTGCGGCACAGGGCACAGCTTAAGGGGCCTCCAGGGGACACACATCCTTCAGAGGCGGGAACTTGATGCTGGGACCCGATGCAGGGAATTTGACGAGATAAACACCGGGGCGAGAAACTCGAAATGTTACCCATCCTTCCTCGGGGAGGGGAGGGACTCCTCTGCCATCGCTCCACACGGAGCCACCTCTGCCAAGGGCTCACACCAGGCAAGAAAACTGGCTATGAGCGTGCCTCAACTTCAATCCACCCCGTCTGTGCTCCCTCGGGAGGCTGCCCCCAGCCGAGGTATCACCTGAGCGCACCGCAGCGCGGCGCCGGGGGCGCAGGACGAGGGAGGGCGCTTCTTACCAGAGAAGTCCGTGAGCGCTGAGATCTCTTTGGAACAGACCAGGACAGTGCAGTAGAAGAGGCGCAGGAGCTGCCCGGGAGGCTCTACCTGCCTGCGGAGTCCAGGATGCTGCGCGGGCTGCGGCGCGGGCGGCGGGCGCGCATGGCCCGGCAGAAGCATGGTGCCCGGCGCGATCCAGCGCGGGCGCGGGCCGGGGGCTCGATGGGGGTCCCTGGGCGGAGGGCAGCGTCACATGGCGAAGCGAGTCAGTGGCCAGCGGCTCCGTGGCCCCCCGCCACCTCCCGCTCAGGCTGCCAGAGCCTCTTCCCGGCGCAGGCCGGTACCGGCTCCCCAGCAAAGGGGAGGGGGCGGAGAAGTGGGGCGGGGCGAGGAGCCCCGGGAAGGATCCGCGTAGTTTCCCCGAGAGGAAATCTCCGCTGCCGCCCCGCGGGAGGAAACCGGTGGGGGTGGGTGGGGGTGGGGGGGTGTTGGCGAAGGGAAAGTGCAGCCTTAGCGCGCCCGGCGGGCTGCGGAGGCCGGTCCCTGGCGAGCCGCCCGCCGCGGAGGGCGCCCCCAACAGCGCGCCGAGGGCCGCGCAACTTGAGCGCCTTCCACGCCTGGGTCCCCGCCCCGGAGACGGCCCGGCACCCCTGGCCCGGCCCGCGCTGGCCCGGTGCCAGCCTCGCCCTGGCTGCCGGAGGAGCGCGGCCGGTGCCCGTGACGCACTTCGGAGCCAGCGCCGCGGGTTGAGCCCAGGAGCCCCCGGGGCGGGGCCGAGGCAGGGGCCGCGAGAAGGTGGGGTCTTGGAGGTGTGTGACTACAGCACCGACGTCCCTGCGACCTGCTGCGCGTCTCGCAGTAGAATCACCAAGCACGCACAGTTCTCCCCATTTCTTGGAAGAGGAGACTGAGACTCCGCGCTTTGCCGGAGCTAACACAGCCAGGACGCGAACGAGTGGGCGAGCGCGGGGTTGGGGGAGGGGGGTTCAAAATGGGTCAGAAGACTCCAGAGCCGGTTTCTTTTTTCTGGTTGGGACTGTGCGCTTCCTTTGGGTACTGGTTGTCCGCAGCGCTCAGAGGATCTGACACTGGCCGGGCATAAATAGCCACCGAGCGCTAATAATTGGGCTTTGTTTTAAAATGGGCCACCGCATCTTTCTGAACCTCTCGATTACGCGCAGTGTGACCCAGGCCCAGCCCGTGGGCGAGGAACGGGTTGTGTGGCCGGGACTCGGGTACATAGAGGACAAGTGCGTGGGAAGGCATGTGGACTCGTGGCTTCGCGCGGGGTACGGGTACCTGGGGCTCCAGCGACCCAAACCCCCTCGGACAGGCCAGCAGACGCGGGAGGCAGGGAGGAGGGCTGGGCGGGCGGGCGCTCGGCACAAAGTGTTCCCGAACACCGCGGGGAGGCCCTGCCAAGTTCTCGGCGGGCCTGACGCGGAAACGTAGATAATGAGGCCCAAGGGCGGGACCAGGCGCACTGCCCCAGCGGGCTCCCAGATGCGCTGTGAGGGCCGCACGGTACGGCGGCGGGGAGGCCTGGAGAGAGAAAACCAAGACGCGCTGATTTACCCGTGGGACCCTCGTAGAGATACGCGAAAGGATCCGGGGGCGGGGCTGGGTGACTGGAGTCCCACAGTGCTCCAGCAGGAGCAAGGTCAGAGGACTTGGTATTTCCCTCCCCTTCCTGCCTGCCCGGAGGTGGGGTGGCAAATGCTAAACCTCCATATACGTTCAGGGGGACCCACTCTACTAGGCACGATGAGTTTCAAATTCTATATTAAAATACTCAGCCTTCTTGGGGTGCCTGACTGGCTCAGTCGGTAGAGCATGTAACTCCTGGTCTCCGGGTTGTGAGTTTGAGCCCCACGATGGGTGTGGCGACTACTTAAAATTTTTTTTTTAATATTTTCAAAAAAGGACTCAACCTTCTCAGTAACTTTTGGCTGTAACTATTAGTGTGCACGTTCTAGGTTGGGGAAACTGAGGTGGGAAGGTAGGTAGGGATGCATAGCACTTAGCAGCCACCCTGTAAGTAACGTTTGCTCAATACCCAGGTCCCTCATATAGTTTCCATCCCATCTGTTCACCCCTCTGGTTGGGTATGAGCTGGTGTGTGCTGGGGAAGCTGGCACAGGAAGAGAACCTGGCTCCCACAGAGCTGGGGGGCTGCCCCCACTGTCTTGAAGGCATAAACTGGCTTTCCAGATGCCAGTGTGGGCTCTCTTACTAACTGTGCACCCACAGGTTTCCTTCTCTGTAAAGTCTCAGACTTGTGATGCTTTAATTAGTTGGTACAGGTGACATGGGTAAGACAGGGCCTGGAACGAGTAAATGCTCAGTCCATATTAGTCATTATTGCAGACAGGAAGACAGCGATTGGACAATCAGGAACTAAAAGAGGCCAGGGAACAAAAGAGGCAGAGCTGAGTGGGAGGGAGAGAGGTGTTAGGGGCTTTTTAAATTAAAAAAAAAAAATGTTTTATTGAAGTATAGTTGACATAGCATGTTTTGTTAGTTTCAGGTGCACAACATAGTGATTTGACAATATGTGTGTCACAAAACACTCACCGCCATAACTATAGTCGCCATCTGTCCCCCTGTGTTGCTACAGCGTTATCGACTATATTCCCGGTGCTGTACTTTTCATCTCCATGACTGATTTATGTTATAACTGGGAGTTTGTACCCTTTAATGAGCTTTACCTACTTCACTCATACCCCCAGCCCTCTCCCTTCCGGCAACCACTGATCTGTTCCTGTATTTATGAGTGTGTTTTCTTTGTTCCTTTGTTTTGTTTTTAAGGTAAGGTGAGTAACATGAGAAGAGTTGGCCAAGCCACAGCTAGCCAAAGCTGGGTGTCTGGGAGGGCGAACATTTTAGAAAAAAAGGGGCCAGCATGTGTGAAATCCAAAAGGAGCATGGCTCCGTAGAAGAATGGAGAAAAGTTTAGAGGGAACCGGGCAGAGATGAGAGGGCGGACATGGTGAGGCGGACAGGTTGTTGGCAGCCAGAGCTCAGGGATCCAGAGACTTTGGTGAGCACTTCCATTTTTACCCTTAGCCCTTGTGAGCATTGCCATCGGTACCGTAAGCCACCAAAAGGTTGTTAGCCAGTGAGGGAGGTGACCAGGTGTGCGTTGGGAAAACATTGGGCCGGCTGCTGAGTGCCCCTGGACTGGAGGAGTCAAAAGTGGGTCCGTGGATTTTTATACGCCAAAGAAGTGAAAACAGGGACTCAGACAGGTACTTGTAAGCCACCATTCACTGCAGCATTATTCACAATAGCCCAGAGGCGGAGGCAACCCTAGTGTCCATCATCAGATGAATGGATAAAGAAAATGTGGAATAGTGTTCAACCATAAAGTGGAATGACCTCTGGCACCTGCTACAACATGGATGAACCTTGAAAACATTATGCCAGGTGAACTAAGCCAGACGCAAGATGATAAACATTGTATGATTCCACTTACGTGAAATATCTAGAAAACGCAGATTCACAGAGACAAAGTAGAGGTTCCTAGGAACTGGGAGAAGGCAGAATGGAGAGTTATTGCTTCATGGGTACAGAGCTGTTGTTTGTCGTGATGAAAGAGCTCTGGAAATAGATAGTGGTGATGGTTGCACAACGTTGTGAATGTAATTAACGCCAATGGTACACTTCAAATGGCAAATTCTATAGGTTTTTCCAACTTCAAAAAATTAACAATGTATTCCAAAAACCATCAAAACTGTGTGCTTTAAATGGGTGAGTTGTATGGTGTGTGAATTATATCTCCGTAAGGCTGTTGTTGTTGTTGTTTTCAAATCTAACAAGAACATCAGAGTTGGTCCGAGAGGGATGGCCAGGGGGAAGTGTCGTCAGGAGGCTATGGCTGTGCTTTGGGCTGGGGCTTTGCGGGCGCAGAGAGAAGGGGCAAGTGGCTAAACTGGAAAGGCATTGGGAGGGGGTGGATAGTGCTGGATGACCAGGTGGCTGTGGGACACGGGACAAGGGACCCTGAAGAGAAACTCCAGCTGCCCTCAGCTTTGCCCTTAAGCTGCTTGCTGTTAAGCCAGACTGTAGTCCTAATCTGATCTCTTTAAGGATTTTGGAAGCTTGGATGCCTGGGTGGCTGAGTCGGCTAAGTATCCAACTCTTTATTTTAGCTCAGGTCATGACCTCACAGTTTGTGGGTTCGAGCCCTCCATCGGGCTCTGTGCTGACACCGTGGAGCCTGCTTGGGATGCTGTCTCTCCCTCTCTCTCTCTCTTTCCCTCCCCCTTTTCAAAATAGATAAATAAACTTTAAAAAGAAGAATTTTGGGATCTTGCAAGAAAATCAAAGAATTCCATTTATCTTCCTCTCTGGACCCCGCACTTCCAAGTCCCTTTATGCCCCGAACCAAATGGAAACCAGTTACTGCCTATGCCCATTCCCTCTCTGTAAATATCGTACAAATACCTCAACCCTGGGGCACCGTATAAACTCTAAGGACAGGAAAATGGGAAGAAAGCACGCACTTCAAAGACAAGGAAACCCTTGTAAAAATCAATCTGGGGCATGAAGAGCAACCTTTCCACCAAGATAATTTCCCCCTGAACTCTTTCTCCTATGATGGAATTTTAAAAATCACAAGTAATCACAGCCACTTGGGTAATTCAGCACTACTGCGGGAGCTGGAATCAAAGCAAATGTAGTCCGAGGAGAATGAGCCAAACAACAGTGCTCCTTGAATGTCAATACTCACAGCAGCCCTTTGAGATATGTACTAACCAGGACCAACTGCGTCATTTACTGGTCTAATGCAAAATGAAAGCGAGGGCTTCGTATTCAAAAATAATTAAGAGTTTCAAGATAGTGATAGCAGAGCATTAAGACAAACATGGGTGGGGGGCACGTGGGTGACTCAGTCTGTTAAGCATCTGACTCTTGGTTTTGGCTCAGGTCGTGATCTCACGGTCTGTGGGTTCAAGCCCTGCATCAGGCTCTGCGCTGACAGTGCGGTCAGTGCAGAGCCCGCTTGGGAGTCTCTCTCTCTTTCAAAATAAATAAATAAACATTAAAAGAAACCTACAAAGACACAGAAAGCAGGGATGGATGCTGGTATGGAGTAAAAGTGTTCCTTTCTATGCCATGGCACCATTGGATAGTCTTGACCCTCCTTGCACGCATGTGAGAACTGCCTCTGCACCTGCCACATTTATTCTGGGTGAAAGGCACCTGTGCAGGACATTGTACGTTCTGTGCCTTTTTTCTTCTTCTTCTTTTGAAGCAATCCTGCCCCTTCTTTCCAGCTCTAAGGAACATTCCTATTTTCCTTCCTTTGGAGACCCTGGCTACTTCCCTCTCCACGGAGGCAAGCATATTTTGGAGGCTGTTTGAGTGCTGTGTGCTCAGACTCCAGTCCTGAGCCTGACCTCTCTCCTCGGCCATCAAGGTAAGGCTTTGGGCTTTCAACAAAGACAGGCTGTAGCCGTCCTCAGAAGACAGAAGCCACCATTTGTCAGCCTCAAAGAAACCAACCTTTCAGCTCAGCAGAGTGAGGCTGAATGTTGTCCAGAGCTAAAAAGGCTTATTTTTAGAAAGCAACAAATGGTGGTTTGTTTATAGAGCTG